AACGCCAGCCGCTGTAGCTCTTCTCCTTGTGGCATTTCAGTTCCTCCTTCTTCTCATCCCTCTTTGCTCCCCATTTTCTTCCTGAAAAAGCCTTTTCCAGATGACCACTGGCTCAAATTCTCTTACCTTCTCCATACCTATGTCCAGCTCCTAATTCAACCATCAGATCCTAACTTGGTGGCCACTTCCTCAAGGAAGCCCTCCCTGATTTTTCTAAGGAGTTCAAGTCACAGCAATCCGGGCTTTCCTGGTATTATCTTTTTATAATATTTGCCACTCTTGCTATTTTACACATAAGATTTTTGGATCTTTGTTTGTGTCCCGCACTATCTGTAGGCTCCACAGAGGCAGAGACAATGCTTTTTTCTTTTTTTTTTTTTTTCTTCTCTTTTCTCAGCTCTGGGTTCCCAGCTCAGCCATGTACCAGCTGTGTGACCCAGGACAGGGAACCTCAACCTCTCTGTCCTCAACCTCCCAATCTTTGTAGGGGTAATATAGGGGTTTTATGAAGTTTATATGAAATCGATGAAATGCTTACAGCAGTTATGAGACACTATGCAAATATTTGCTCGATTAAAATGAGGTGAAAAGAACGTCTGAGTAATAATTCATAATGGTGAGTTAGTGCCAGCTTTACTCTTTAATTTCCAGAGTTCTGGGTTCTTCCACCCTTTTTGCCTTTGATGTCCAGGTGGGACCTGGTGATAGTCACATCCTCCTGAAATGTGGCTGGTGCTATGGGGGCAGGGGATCTGGAAGTCTAAGTACCTTGCAGACACCGGGCCCTGTCTTAGTCGGAGTGCCAGGAACGCTCAAAAGTATGCAACCAGGGAGGGTGACTCAAGGCTTGAGAAGGGATGTCCCATTTCAAGAGTTCCCAGACACAACTTTTCAGAGTTTCTGGGAAAAGCAAGATGAGTGGTGTGCACCCAGGGTTTTGTTTTGCAGGGTTCTGTCAAACCTGCAGCCTGGTCTGCTCAGGGTAGGGGGAGCCTGTCGGATGATGGGACATTTCTGGGGATCTCGGCACAATTAGTGATCCTACGCTTGACTGCCTGCGGGTGGCGAAAACAGAAGCAGAGAAATTATGCAACGGAGCCAGTCACGTAGCTCGGGTGAGGCCGAGCTGGGTCAGGTCTCCGGCCCCAGACTTCTGTTTAATCTGATGAGATTTGTGGCTGTTCTATTATCCCAGCACGGACTTTGTTTAGTCACAGAAGCTGTTAACATAATTTCAGAGATGTGGTCAGGGACTCCTGGGTCATCTTGTAAAAATGACGTTACCAGGAAATGAAAGTACTCAAAACTCTGGAGAAAGTGTATGTCGGGATCAAGCTGGGGGTATGAGCAGGGAACAGCAAAGTCACAAGAAGGAGGTAAACAACTCAACGCATCAAAACAAGAGAACTGTACATAGGCAAAAGGGGAACGGCTGGACTAGGGRCTGCATAGCTTCAGGGTAAGGGTATTCTGCTTCACCTACAGCCTCTAGGATATCTGAGTGTGTATGATGAAGATAACCTGAGTCCAGAAGATACGATCTGTAACTACATGCTTCCATCTATGTTTGAGGAACTGGTCATCTAGGAATTCATGCTTTAGAAAAAAAYGTTTATGAAGATTCCTTCCCTCAAATTGAAAATGATATGGGTCTTTGACTTTCTACTCTTYCTCTGATCCTTTCTTGGCTCTCATTCAGTGAGATCCAGGTAGTGAAAACAGAAYGGGTTTGGGGGTTGCCCAGGCCAACTACTAATGGCATGACTATGAGAAATTCAGAAATTATTCTCTCTGAATTCGGTGTCTTCATCCATGAAATGGTCATAGTAATACCTCACAGGGTTGATGTGTGTCTGATGACACTCAGCTAGATACTGACTGCAACATATCTTGGACTTATTTAAAATGCCAGTTTAAGCTGAGCACCGTGGAACACACCTATAATCCCAGCAGCTAGGGAGACTGAGTCAGGAGGATCACAAGTTTGAAGTCAGTCTCTGCAACTTTGTGAGGCCCTAAGCAACTTGGCGAGATCCTGTCTCAAAATAAAAAATAAAGGGCTGGGGTTGTAAGGCACTGGGTTCGATCCCCAGCACCACACACACACACACACACACACACACACATACACACGAAAGAAACCAAACTAAATAAACAAAATAAAGGTATTGTGTTCATTTACAAATAAAGAATATTTTTAAAAAAAAAGTGCTGGAGATGTAGCTCAGTGTTAAAGTGCCCCTGGGTTCAATCCTTCAACATAAATAAATAAATAAATAACCAGTTTAAAATAGGTTTCTCAAAACAGTGTAATAGTGATATACTGTTAGCTCGAGCAAGGAATGAGAATAAAGAGTTTAGAAACAGATCTGTACATGGAGGTTRATTAATTTTTGACAAATTTTTTTTCAGGATAATTTGATAGGAAAAAGATAGTAAGTTTGGCAAAGAGGATTCATGGGGCTATTGGAGCTACATATGAAAATAAATATATATATATATATATATATATATATATATATATGTACATAAAATAAAAAACCTTGACTGATGCTTTCTCTTATATAGCACTGCAATAAAACCAACTTGAAATGCATGAGCGGCTATAAAACTTCTAGAAGGAAAACAGAAGAAAGTCTTCATGACCTCAGGTCAAATAAAGGTTTCTTAGATAGGATTCACGAAGCACAACCATAACAAATTTTGATGACTAGGCCTTGATCAGTATTAAGTATTTGCTCTTCAAAAGACCCTGTTAAGGAAATGGAGATGCAGATGATAGGAGGAGAACGCATTTGCAGGATGGATTAATCTTTTAGCATTGCCGTCCCTTAACCTGAGGCGCAGTGTGCACGTGACCCTGTGCTCTCTTCTCCCTCTTCAGCGTCCACACCATTATTTACTGTCACCGTCCTGTCCATACTGTCATGAAGGAGGTTGCAGAGAAGACAGAGCTAGGTGTCAYGAGGTCTCAAGGCCCAAGTCTTAAGTTCCATTCCTGGGACTGGTGGCCAGAAAGAGAGAGAGGAACGTGTACATTAGGAAGTGACCAGAAGCCCCTGGAGGCCCCGGAGGTGGTCTCCACAATGACAACAAAACACACCTTCTGCCAGACTGCATGATGCTCTACCTGCTGGTTTCCCTGAACTGGAGAGGCACTCACTCGGGGAGTCGGTGGCACCGGAGGCAGCGGGCACCACGGTGGTCACCCAGTGGAGTTTCCCGCCTTGACTCCCGCCCTGACTCCTGCAGTGGGTTTTTGCTCTTCCTGTGTCTGCGACCTGCTGTCATTTGGACTCCATTTCAGATTTGTCCTCACACACGTCTTCTTTGGTTTTAGTGCCTGGAGACTGTTGGCTCAGGGCTGGGAATTTATTCCCTTGGAAACTTCAGCCTCTGGCTTCCTGGCATCAGGCCTTGCGCTTCCTGCCTTTGAACCTGCTAACCCTTCTCCCCACCTCCTCTCSGCCTCCTGGGAGCTTCCAGTTCATYGTGCTTGACAAACCCTGGTGTCTGCTAATTTCATACATATCTTAAGGCACACGATCCACAGCCCTGGGCTCTGTGATCAGCAGGCAAACGCTGCAGGCTCCCGTATGGATACAGTGGCCAGAGCTTGGGGTGGATTCGGGTGGGCAAAGCCAAGTCTACCATGGCTGAGGCAGCTGTGGTGCTTTTTAAGGATCGACACGAATGTGAGGGCGTCTTTATCCATGTGAGCCAGGGCCATCGTATGGATGATCTTCGTGCTAGGATTGTGGGCCCTTGATACCTCATTGCTGATGGGGGATTTAAGGGATGAGCAGAGGAGAGTCCAGTGGGAAAGGCAGCAGCCTCGGTTCAGCAAGCCCCTCTTTCTACAGGCGGCCTCCTAGTAGGACCAGGCACATAGCCAGGTTCCTAGTGAAAGTTCTAGAGTCCCGGCCGTGTGTGTTCTGATGGGTCAGAGAATGTCGTCATGCGTTCCCTGAGCTTCTACTTAACAACAGCAGGACCACAAGTGATGTTCCCTGTAGAGCTGGATGGAAAAGTAATCTGACTGCAATTCACAGACAGCTGGAGGCTGAGGACTCCTTCCACTTTGACTTCAAATGGGAGCCTCTCAGAATGCGCATGCTGGGGAGCAGAGACTGGAGTGAAATCCTCACGCTCTTTGGTGCTTCTAGGTTGATCCCAACAGCCACTTTGCACTGTTCACTACCGCGGAGCCAAACCTGCTCATAGAACCTTTCACCATAACATCTTTCCACTACACACAGGCTGCTGAAAAGAATCTGGAAGATTTTTATTAAACAATGATTATAAAAAATAGATTTCATTGCTTGGTAGACAGGTRGAGTCTCTCCAGGTTGCTACAGGGCTAACCTGTACCAAATAGATTTCARGCTTTAAAGGGATTAAGCCAAAAGGAACTTAAAAATTTCACATGGTTTATACAATTCTGCATTCTGAAGCCCTCCCTGCCATGCCCAGCAATTTTATGGATCAAGAATCTGAGGTATAGGAAGTTTAGGGAAGGATTTAATTTGCAGAGAAAGTGGAAGAACTGAAGCTTAAATCCTGACTGTAAATCCTGTACTTATTTCCAACTGTCTCTCATTCAGATTGTGGGATTCGGCTGCCTCAGAAACCTACAGATGACATAATGGTTATTCCCAAGGGGGCATTGAAGCAGGGACTAATTTTGCACGAGGCTGGACTTTGGAGTCCTGRTTCCGACCTAGCACCTTCTTCTCTCCTCCCTCCACTCCTTTTCAAGGCCACCTGAAAACTCTGGCTCAGGCAGGGGCAGGAGGAGCAGCTTCTACTTTGTAGCCTTTTTCTTTTCACCAGCTGCGAAGTTGAGGGAGTTGAACTTCTGTGCTGTGAGTTCACTGCTCACTCTGCCGCGGTCAACCTCTGTTGTAAATTTTCCTCCCAGAACACGTGACGATGCATTTCTTGACTATATATCCCCGACTGCAGCAGCCGAGCTGTCAGAGTGCGCGCCGGACGCAAAAGYGGAGCGCTCTTGGACCAGGCGATTTAGGAATTCAGAGGAACTGCCAGCCTTGGGTAAGTCACAGTGCTGCTTTGCTTCTTTGAAAGAGGAACGTTCCTAAGTACAAATACACCACGCTCTTTTCTTTCTGTTTCCTTTGTTTGCTCTAAGGAACTTTGCTTTGAATTTTAAAAGTTTAAAAAGTTTTAGAAGCCAAATGCCAATTTTTGGTTCTGCTCCATGGGTTCAAATATGTGTCCCACTTTTTAACATATTATTTACTTTCTCTACTCTTGCTGGCATAGGGAATTTTTGAAAGAATGAAAGTAATGCCTGCTCCTTTATGAAATGCACAGAAGATGGATATATAGCATAGACGCGAAAAAGTGAAAGTTCTTCCTTTCCCGCTTGCCCTCCAACCCCTCAGAGCTAAACCCTGTTAACTCTTTGGTGGAACTTCCTATGCTCTTTATCTCATGCATTTATAAACTTTTTGACACTGTGACTCCATAAACCTCATGCTTGCCCTCCACCACGTTAGGGGGCCCTGGTGGGAAAGCTCTAATCTGTGGCTTTCTCCCCAGACCCCAGCTGYGTGCGCCGTGCTTCAATGCTGAAGATGGAGACTCTGAACAGCACACACCCCAGCACCGCAGCCTCCAGCAGCCCCCTGGAGTCCCATGTGCCCAGCAGTGGCAGCGGCAACGGCAATGAATATTTCTACATTCTGGTTGTCATGTCCTTCTACGGCGTTTTCTTGATTGGAATCATGCTGGGTTACATGAAATCCAAGAGGCRAGAGAAGAAGTCCAGCCTCCTGCTGCTGTACAAAGATGAAGAGAGGCTCTGGGGAGAGGCCATGAAGCCGCTGCCCATGGTTTCAGGCCTGAGGTCAGTGCAGGTGCCCATGATGCTGAACATGCTGCAAGAGAGTGTGGCCCCTGCGCTGTCCTGCACCCTCTGCTCCATGGAAGGGGACAGCGTGAGCTCCGAGTCTTCTTCCCCAGATGTGCATCTCACCATCCAGGAGGAGGGGGCAGACGACGAGCTGGAGGAGACTTCAGAGACGCCTCTCAACGAAAGCAGCGAAGGGTCCTCTGAGAACATCCATCAGAATTCCTAGCATCCCCAGGGATCCTGAGGTGGCTCCGCCAGCCAGCAGCACCCTTAGAAAAAGAAGAGACATCATCAAGTGTCCGGTTTCACTTTTGCAGTGCAGCTGCCACTTTGAAAAGGCCCTCAGATAGCCCCTGAAATAGGGGAGGGTGAGAGGCAAGGCTCAGCTGGAGGTGCCTGCGATTGGGACCTGCCACCTGAAAAGCCCCCAAGACGTGCAGTGTGTTCACTTACTTTGGGGTCTGGGTTTCAGGGTTCCTGTTCAGCCTTTGGTCTGATGATGTGCTTGTCATTTTCTCACTGGATGTCCAGGGTCACTTGCGCAGCATCTGCCTTTTGCTGGGGCTGCTAAATGCCTAGGGCAGGCTGAGGGACTAGTCTTGATTTGCTAATTTGCCTAGAGCTTTGTTCTTCTAGATCTAATTGGCTGTAAGTATCTCTACTATGTACCTGTGGCATGAGTTCACAGAGGGTTACAAGCTGCTTTTGGAGGTCTTTGGATAAGAGGGGAGATTTTAATGAATGATTTTAGATAGGAGAAAGCTGGAGATCTGAGCTGAACCTGTTTGCACAATGTAAGGGGAAAAAGCAACTTTTTAAAATCTGTTAACATTAGCTGGGGTTATAAGAGATGATCTGCTATTTTGATCTTTTGTCTCATCTATGACCTTGAACTTGTGCCTGTCCAACATTAGATGCTGGCATGATGCTCTTTTGGTCAGAGAGCTTCCCCAGAATCTATCCTGCACTCTGGCCATGCAGGGGGCTCTTCCTGATCTTTCCAGAAGGAGTGTTGGTGGAGCTGAACCAGGCCAAGCCGTTGGCTCGTTTTCCCAGCCTAGTTTTCTGAGCCGGGAGAGGACATACGACGGGACTCACAATGTGGTATTTCGTCACGTAGCTGAGACCTAAAAGGGCATATTCAGGCAGAGATTGCACAAAGCTGGGGTCCAAGTCTATGGCTGCTGATCCCAAGCCCTGACGCGCATCTGCTGTGTGGTCCTGGGCATGTCTTCAAGAGGCTTGCTGCCTTCACGAGGCTCCTGAGGATGTGCAGCCCCAGGGGGCTGGGAGGATTTCAGGACTCTGTGATAAATGCTCCGTGGCCTGGTGTGAGGAAGCTTGGACCAAATATTTCCCCTTTTGCYAGTTAGTCTGAAACAGGATCTTCTGATTTAAAGGAGCAGTTGGAGACTCTTGTGTATGTGTAACTGGGGAATTGGGGGCTGATCACCAGCTATCCTTGCTGTCATTTTCCCAGGATTAAACTAAAAAGGCAGATACCACATTTTCCTCTGCACAGTTCTTTGGATGGTGGGTCGTGAACACTCCCAGSTAAGGAAAAGAGAAGTCTGGAAGGAAATGCTCAGGAATGCTTGTCAGTATGTGTTCTTGTGGTCAGTAGCTTTGTAGCAGAATCTCTCAGCCATTGGAGACAACACGAAAACATCAGATTTAATTCTAGTAAAAAAAAAAAAAACTTAAATTTTATATATATATATATATATACACTCTCCCTGGATTGGAGGTACAGTGATAACTGCTGTTCCCATGGAAGGGTTAACAGTATAGGAGCCGGTTTATCAGTCTGCCTTGATACAGAACTAGAGGAAATTTGTTGGTGGGAGAAAGGCTCTCTGTTCACTTTAAAACTCAGAGTGTGGATTTACTCCAAAGGGGGCCATTTAAGTTGAAAGAAGCCAAGTTGAGTTTGGCCTCTTGCCTGGAATCACTTGAATTCTGAAACTTCACTGCGACGGACATGTGCCTTGTCACATTTTCCATTGCTTAATCCTGAAGTTTGGTGCAAGTCTATCTGCGCCTGTTAAAAAGTGATGTATATACTTCCTGTTTGTTCTATTGAGTTGTATAGAATTGTCTTTTGTATTTAATGGTTTGTAATTTTCACAGTTTTTTTAATTTAAATAAACAAACACATTTTCCCCCCCTGGGAAGTCATGTGCCTTTTTCTTTGCTTCTTCAATATAATTTGTAGTTTCTCAGACATCACAGAAATGTGCTCCAAGTCATCTCCAAATTTTGCTCATCTTCCAAGTCAGACTCTCCTAAAGGCATATCTTGTTTCTGCCTGAGCCATGGAGTGAGTGAGGCATGGCTTTTCAGCTTTTGATAAGCTTTGATTTGCTTTGCAATGAAAAGAAAACRGGCTGAGCATGGTCTTCCATCAACTTCTCTGAAGGTGGTGAAGTCTTTGGACTTGAATGTGTACTGATTTGGCAAGTGCTGTTAAGACGTTGCTTCAAATCTGGTTGCAAGAAAACATTTGATTTGCATGCTGGCTTGGCAAGTGTTATCGACATGTGTGGCCTCAGAAGCACAGGCGAACGTCAGGGTGTTGCTGTGTATACAAACTTAGGAACACAATGGAGTACAAAGTCCACAAGTTGGGGTTGACTCTCTTCCAGTCTCCTCCCTGCTAAGACAGATTTCTCCTTGGGTCTTGCTGTAGCTCTTCCCCACAGGCTGAAGCATGGCTAGCCTGCTGCCACCTCTGCTTTATTGATTTTATTTACATAGTCAATGCGAAATAAAACTTACCAAGACCTGTGGTTCATTTTCCAATCAAGCAGGTGGTAGAAAGTCCCCTTATTTTTATGTTTCTTAATCCACTGTGAACTTGACTTTTAATTCCAAGTAAAGGGTTCTGTTGGGCTCTCAATAACTGTGTACCTGAAGGGCTCACCTGGAAGTGGTACAAGGGAAATTAGATCCTTCCCAAATCACATCAAAGCTCTCAATCCTCCAGTTGGTACTTTGTCAATGTAAATGAGATTATTTTAAAAGGTAAGAAAACCCTTCAGTTCATCCCAGCTTAATGTCATTCGTGGTCAGGAAATAGTTAAGAAAAACTTTTTCTGACCATGGGCGGAAGAAGAGGGAATTCTAAACTCTAATTGTCCTAAAAATATGCAGAGTACACTCTGTCGTTTTAATGGAATATTTGTTTTCTTAAAAAAAAAAAAAAAAAAAAAAAGAACTTCTAAGGAGAACCTAAGACCCGAGGGGTTTAGTCTGTGTGGATTTACTCATGCATGTGAAAAACTGTGAAGGGAATTCGGACCGTGCACCTAAGACATTAGAAACATATTTTAAAAGCACTTAAATGTCCAGGGGGGAGGTCCCTGGCCTGTCCGGCTTGCTCCATGCTGTTCTAATTACACCTTTGTACGTCAGAGTCAGGCAGGGTTGCTGCAGAGACAAGGATTTCTTTCGTGGACAGAATCATGGGATCAAAACTATCGGGAAGGGCTGAAGTTGTGCCAGGGAATGARCACTCTTGGCTCACAGTCCTGGTTGGAAAGTGGACCCCGTGGTGCATTCAGAGCTGTGATTGGACAGTTTGTGSTCAGACGTGCACTTCCAGGGCTCAGCCAAGGAAAGGTCATTTATCACCCTGTAAAATGCTGTTCTAACCCTAGACAGTGTGGCACAGGCAGAACGCTGAGTTTCAAAATGTCAAATTTAAATTTAAAGTTTAAGAAGGGCATACATTTACCCTAAACTCCGGGCTTTGTGCTGGAGAAAATCAAGGGCATCTCGTGGGTCCAGGGCTTGGAGGGAGACAGGTCAGCTCAGCCAGGTGTCCCGGATGGTGGTGAAGCTGGAGATGAACTAAGGAGGGCAGGCCATGTGCAAGGGGAGGAAGGTGGGCTCAGCCTTGTTATGTCTGGCTTTCTAAGCTGACTCTTCCCYTGTGTGCTTTGCAGCTCTGGGGAAGGTACCCAACTCTGACTTCTCTCTTTCARCACGGATAACACACTGGCCTCCCTCTTTGGGGAGCTGTTCATGAAAAAGAATAGTGAGACGAGAAACACCGAGTGCCGTGTGAAAGTCAAGAAAAAGCAGCGCCAGGCTTCTCCTTTTAAAAATGYTTCCTGGGCACGCATCTGCAAACAAAGCCACAGAGACATCCTCTTCTRTGACAGTTTCCTCAGGAGACTGCACTGTTCAGAGAGAGAACACGATTTGCCAAAGGAGAAGGGTCATAAAGAGAAAGCACTGTCTAATTCTGCCTTTCCCATTTATGAAATGTTTCCTCCCACACAGGAAGGAACAGTTTGGGATGCAAGCTGTTACCATGGAGACAACCAACCAAGGCCATTTGATTGCAGGAACCTGGGGCCCACTGCTMCTGGATCTCTAGGGCCATTTCATGAAGTTGGGGCTTGGTCCTTGGCTCATTTGATGTGCTGTGAGCCCACTGCAGGCAGAGTACAGGGTGCAGGGGCAGTGTCCCCCTTTTATCCTGCACWCTGCTGTTCTTTCTTCCTGCTCTCTCCTTGTAGGCGTCAGTATAGGGCTGCCCCATTCCAAAACAGGGCTAAGCTCTTGTTCTTCCATCCTTGGAAATATACTTTCCTGCAAAGAAACCTGATCAAAGAATTCTTCTCATCAAGAACTGTGCTCCTTTCCTGTTCTTAATGGGTCCCCGTCGCTTGTTTTCTCTTTATTCCCCCTCCCTCCCCTCTTCTCTCACTTTGTTCTATTACCCTGAAATAACAAAAATAAATCATAATCACARGGCACAATACTTATTCGGCACTTATTATAAGCCATGTACATAATTCATTCAACTTTTATGGTAACCTCATGCTTTGAGCTTCTACCCCATTCTAGGCACTTTTCTAGATGCTGGTGAAAAAATGTAGCACCTGCCAGACCCCCAGTCATGGCATAGACTGCACATGGATGAATCCCATTAAAATTAACTCTGTCTCTGGCTGAGGGCTCTCTGGCTCTAGGACGTAAGCATACATGGCTTTTGTCTTTCAATAGTTAGTGGACACTGTTCTCATATATATATGAGAACACTCCCTCACTGGTAAAGTGGAGAAAGTACCATTTTTCTACTGCTTTCAAAACATTCCCAAAACCACATATGAAGTAGCTGGAAAAATAGAAAACCTTTGTCTTTGATTGGGGACAGTTTTTAGACATCTTATTTACCAACATCTTGTTTTCCCCTCTGACTTCATAAAATATTCA